AAACTCAGTCAGTCAGTCTGATCGGCTGCAGCGTCCAATCACATGACAGATGAACAGTGAGGGGGCGTGTCGGCCGTTAAAAGACTTCCTGGAAGTCTGTTCTCGTGGGTCCTCGCTCATGGCTCCTCAGAGGTCCCTCCTCCATCCGCCATCCTCGCTCTTCTGAGCTACATTAGAGCTTTGGGACAGCCATCAATATGGCGGCGCAGAAACAACTTCCGGTTCAAGCGAGGATCGAGGAGCGAGGAAACGACAATTAAGAGACTTGAGAAGTACCCCGTGACACAGGGGGCTGAGACGAGGAAAGAGATGGCAGATCAGCATGTTTATCATGTCAGTTGTGAAAGTAAAATCATAGACTAGGTCGCAGCTTGTCTTTAAGGGGTGATGGTGGACCCCACAGCCAGACCAGTTGAGAACCACTACGCTACATGAGCACAGAAAACAACATATTTCCCACAATTTAAACTTCTGCATTTTCCAAATGCACTAGTATTATTCAAACGTACTGTTCGGTTCGTAAGCCTTGCACCGAACGGTTTAATAAGAATACGTAAATAGTTACAGCCCTAGAAACGAATAATAGCTGTGGCGCCATCATGTGGGTATTAGGTGGTATTTGAGCTGCAGGACAGCAGTGAAGGCCCAGGTATAAAATGCATGGCCCGCCACTGAGTAGTGTAGAAATACTCTGTTAAAAAAATGTTAGCATCAAAATACATTTAACGTACCAAAAGTGAAACTACTCATTTTGCAGAATACTATATATTAAATTATGATAATAAAGTTATTGATTCATTTTGGATTAAGACACAATGAGTCAGTCATTAAAGAATTAACACAAACTGACGACAATGTTTTTGTTCTTCTGACTGAGTGAAGTTCAAAATATTTTTTCAGTAATAATTATTAATTTCCGTCATATTTTTCCAATCTTAATCAATAATATATTTATTATAGTAATGAAGGAGAGAGCTGCTGACGGCCTGCAGCCTGACAGGAAGTGGAAGTATTTGTTCACGAAAGGAAGAAGCGGCGAGACGAAGGTATCGCCTTTCAGCACCCAGAGCGTCTTCACCAAAGTCAACAGCTTTATGGTTTATTAATACAGCAGAAATCTGCCGTCATCAATAATGTAGAGAGACGACATTTAGGAGGACTTTTATTCTTCTCTCTGCTGCCGCTCTTTGTGCTAAGCTAAGCTAACAGATGAAACCGATACCGAGGAGTTCATTAAAAGTTGGACTGCTCCTTCAATGTCTTGCATCTATTCATTACGTAATGATAAAGTCGATTTTTACTTTTTCAAATCAAGACTTTTGTCAAAGAACAAAAATGTCTTTCAGGCTGAAATCCCACATAAATACAAGAACAAGATCAAAACAAAGTTTGTTTTTTAGAAGCGATATTAAAGAGACGAAGAAATCAAAACAACAACGTGTTTTTTTAGAGGACGGTCCTGTCTGTAGAACTCAGACTGCAGGTTTATGAGGACGCCCTCATTCACAGGTCTTTATGGTTTAAGAGGACTCTAGCGTAAAGACATCAAGAGGAGAGTAACGAGGTTGCTCACAGCCAGTTGACAGAGTCATGTGACCTGAAACTCTTATAAAACTCTGTAATAAACTAATTAATATGAAAACATGGAGATTAAATCAGATACACATAAACACTGATGTAAATATCATAAATACCACAAAGAGTTAAACAAAAACAATTATTTATAATAACCTGATAACAAGTAATCCTGCTGAACAGGTTTTACTATGTGAAAGTGATTCTTATGAAGAAGAATAAACTGACAGGGAGGACTTTTACTGGTTCTATGGAAGACCGTTACTGCAGAAAAAAGAAAGATGAAATTAGTTTTGTTTTTTTTTAAATATGAAGAAAACTTGATAAACTGAGTCTCAATTAAAAGTTGAGACTGAAGTTTAAATCAACTCTCTTTAAGCGTTAGCTCACGTTGGCCATCTACAGCTGATTAAATCTACCGTCTACTTCAGCGCATCTTTGTTTCAAAGATTACAAAATCAATTTAAAAGTAATAACTGTGAATATTTTTGTTTTTATGAGCTAGTGAAAATTATATTTAATGTCGAAATTAAAATTTAATAGAAAGGAAGGCAAAGTTTGTCACAATTCTTCAAGTTGTGACAAACTAACATTAAAATGAAACAGTAAAAAGTAATAATCATAATATGAACTCATCATACTCAACTTTATTATTTGTCCTCTATTATATTTCAGACGGGAGATATAAAAACAAATACGAGCTTTTATTTCTGACAGGAAGTGGCCTCTGAGGATCTGAAGAGGGTTTTAGTGCGTTTGTCTCCTAAATAAAAGGATTCTGAATATGAAGACGCTTTTCAGAGAATTACTTTGTCTCTCATATATATATATATATATATATATATATATATATATATATATATATACATATACATATAGTACTTTATACTGTACTACACCTTAGAGGTACATGTAGTACTTTATACTGTACTACACCTCAGAGGTACATATAGTACTTTATACTGTACTACACCTCAGAGGTACATGTAGTACTTTATACTGTACTACATCTCAGAGGTACATAGTGTACTTTATACTACATCTCAGAGGTACTTTACTGTACTCCATTTATCTGAAAACTGCAGTTTAAGTTTTTAGATTCAGATGTAAAATAAATGAGATGATCAACTAATACAATATGAAACATTGATGTATGAAGCACTGAAAATTAACTCAATGAGTAATTTTATGTATTATACTTTAAATACATTTAACTGCATGTAGTAATACTTTGAGTACAGATGTAGCTTCAGTATATCCTGTATGTATTAATACTCTCATTGTGTTTTAATAGTGGAGGAAGATTACTTTGAAGTGATCGGTGGACTGATTCAGAGGATCCGCTTGTCTTTGTATACTGAAAGTACTTAAGTACTCTCTGTACTTAAGTACTTTGATACTTTCATCAGGACGTCTACAGTATTAGAGAACTTTCAGGTTTCATAAAAAAAGACACGAGATTTTAAATTCTTTTCTTTGTATTTTTGTTTTGTTTTCAGAGAATCAGAGACGTCACATGATTAATATTCATCACTTACAGTAAATGAGACAAAACGCGTTTAAAGCTCCGTTCTTTTTTTATATTTGATGGCTATCCAGCGTAGGGAAACCTGAGGAGCGCGGCCTGTCTGGGGCCAAGTCGCAGCTCCGTGAGGTCCACGTTGCCACCATCGGCCGGCAGGACGGCGCCGTCGGTGCTGAGGACGACCATCGCACGCCGAGGAAGCGCCGCGCTGCTCAGCTGCAGCGCCACCGCCTCCTCCGCCCAGTTGAAGGTGGCCAGATAGCGCTCGCTCTGATCCCAGACGCGCAGGTACACCAGTGAGGAGGAGGAGTTAGAGAGGAGCAGGAAGTCTCCGAACAATAGGGAGCGCTCTTTACCACGGAGCTCACTCAGAGCACTGAAGAACCGGAGACAGGACCGACGCTCCGCCTGCTCCTCCTGGAGGAGAGAATACACAGTGTCATTACTGTACTGCTGTACTAGTACTAATACTGCTGGTACTAGTACTACTGCTACTATGAGGACTAAAATTAATGCTAGTACTATAGCTGTAGTACCTTTTCTCCTGTTGTAACCACTTCTGTGACTGCTGGTACTGCCAGCACTGATAACAGCATTTCTGCTACAAGTACTTCCACTACATGTACTCTTGCACTACTTGTTCTTGCATTATTTGTACTTGTACTACTAGTAGTAGTACTTGCCCTACTTGTATTAGCGTAACTTGTACTTGCGCTACTTTTACTTGTACTCCTTGTACTTGTGCTACTTTTACTTGTACTCCTTGTACTTGCGCTACTAGTACTTGTACTCCTTGTACTCCTCGTACTTGTACTCCTTGTACTTCCTCCTGTCACTCTCAGTATCTCCATGTTTAGTTTTTTTTACCTTCAAAGTCCCGTTCAGCTCCTCATCAGTGTCCCAAAGCATTCTGGGAAACTTGGTGCCCTTTAACACAGATGATAAAAAGTGAAGATCAATCAGTGATAATCAATAATCATGTTTGATGATGAATCAGAAAGGACTCCTTCAGCACCACCTGGTGGTGGGAGTGAGGGAGACGCCGTAGACCAGACTCCACTCATTAATCTACTGATTTAACATCCGTCTCTCAGGTCTCACTGCTACTGCTGGTACGAGTCCTACTGCTGGTACGAGTCCTACTGCTGGTACTAGTCCTACTGCTACTGCTGGTACAAGTCCTACTGCTGGTACTAGTCCTACTGCTGGTACTAGTTCTACTGCTACTGCTGGTACAAGTCCTACTGCTGGTACGAGTCCTACTGCTACTGCTGGTACTAGTTC